ATTTTATTTTTATTTTTCTCTTAAACTTTATTTGGGTAACTTGGTACACCTACACTCAATACCAAGTGACGACTCTCATTTTTTTAAAAACCCTTTTTAGACTAAATTTTGGGGCCAAACTGTCACATTTTTTAATGTCTCATTTTAGACCCTTTTACACTTATGTTTTAAAATGAAAAACATATTTTTTTTATAAATACCTTTTTATTGCAAAAAATGGGGCACGACAGCTTGGCAACTCTATTAGAATATCCTAATGAGTTCGAGCACTTGATTTAGTCGTCTTTTCCTTTTCTAACCCTTTTGCATATCATATTTGATGGCTTATGTTGCATTTTCCTTTTTAGGATCTTTTACATTTCGTAATCATATTCATTCCTTGTCCTTCTCGTATGTAATGAATAGTTTGTTTATTTTTATTTACTTACTTGTATTTACTTACTTGTATCATGCTTTACATTTTTGGTGGGAAGCAATGTTACCCTAGAATTTTCATACATGTTTAATGGTATTTAATCCTTCCCCTCAAATGAGCATTTCATACGTTCATACGCTGTTTCTTTTTAACCCTTTATTTTTTTTCTTTTAGTGGTTGTTATAGTACTCTTCCCTATTAAGAGCAGGATTGATCCACTGGACATGTGGTTGTGGAATGACGTGCATGTAGCAGTGTTTGGAGTATCACTCAAGCCACCGACTAAAGATCTTAGGATTGATGACTTTTTGCCTTTTGGTTTGAAGGTTTAAGGATTTGAAACCTTATCAAATGTAAATGCATTAGTTAAGTCTAGCCTCATCCAGAATAGAGTCTACCTTTACTCTATTAGAAACACTAGATATGAGGGGAGGGATTTTACTCTTTTTTTTCTTTACCTTATATTTCTGTATCATTTTGTTAGTCCAATGTGTTATGTGTTATTTATCAATAAACTAACTATTGTTTTCTTCTTTTGTCTTGCATTCATAAGTTTTAAAAATATCAGTTCTGACATGGCACTCATTTAGGAGAAATCTCCCTTTAGATTGAGTTATTGCACGTTTAAATTTTAGTTTATTGCGTTAAAGCTATGTGTGTGTGTGTATATATATTGCATATTATTTTAAGTTTACCCCAACATCCGAATTGGGCACCTTCAGGTCATGGTTCAATTATCGCGCTGCATATTTACTTATTTTAATAAACTGGCATCATGCATCAACCATAGAGGGATTGCCATTTAGGGAATCCCAATTCAGGAATAGGGTTAATCACAATCAATCCCCTTAAAGTATGCCTCATTTCTCATTTTATCCCCTAACCATTTTTTTGTCTCACTTTATCCCCTATTGGACAAAATTGTCCCTCTATTATTCTAAACTCTTTTTTTCTCTTTCCCCTTTTGTGCTCTTTTATTTTCTTTGCCTCTTTTTTCTTTCTTTAATTCTTTCTCTTTCCCACAAAAATCTTCATCTTAGTGATTGAAATTAAAAAAGAGAAATTGTAGAGATCTATCTTCTCCTTAAATGATTAAAAAAAATATTCAAATCACTTTCCTAAAAGACAATTTTTTTAGCCTTTCAAATATTTTAATTTTGTTTTTTCCTCTTTCTTTTCTAGTTTCTCATTTTATTCTCAAGAAAATATCATAAGATGAAATTGTGACCGGATTAAAAATCATCAATTGAAATTTGTGACACGTGTCGTCATACAAAAAATTAAAATTAGTTTTTGATGCCTTTTAACCCTTCACCCAAAAATGCAATTACAAACTCAAAATAAAAATTTCCGTTGAGATGGAGTTTTCTATTGGGAAGGATGAAAGGGAAAAGTGAGAGAAAAAGAAATAAAAGCGAGGAAAAAAGCTAAATGAAAAGTCAAAATAATGGAAGGGTAATTTTATCCTATAGGGGGTTAAGTGAGCAAAATAAAAGGTTAGGAGGTAAAGTGAGAAATAAGGTATACTTTAAGTGGATTAATTGTATCCTTGTCTTCCCTTAGGTATCTAACCCTCTATGGGATATTCATCTTTAAATTTTTGTAAAACTGGAGAAGTGAAACTTGTAGGTAAGACATTTGATCCGGACTACATGCTTCAGATGCATAGATCTCAACTAGTCAAGCAACTGTTGGTGGTTCCAATGAAGGTTAAAAAATGGCCAGTGTTTCTCTCATCCAGTGAAATTATGGGTTAATCACATTTTATCCCCTTAAAAAATATCTCATTTCTCAGTTTACCCCCTAACCTTTAATTTTGCTCATTTAACGCCTTTTAGGACAAAATTGCCCTTGTATTATTTTGACTTTTCATTTACCTTGTTTTCCTTTCTTTTATTTCTTTTTCTCTTTTTTCTTTATTTAATTCTTTCTTTTTCCCACAAAAATCTTCACCTTAATGATTGAAATTAAAAAAGAGGAATTGCAGAGATCTATCTTCTCCTTAAATGATTAAAAAAATATTCAACTCACTTTCCTAAAATACAATTTTTTTAGCCTTTCAATTCTTTTAATTTTAAGTTTTCCTTTTTCCTTTCTAGTTTCTCATTTTATTTTCAAGAAAATATCATAAGATGAATTGTTTTCCTTTCTTTTATTTCTTTTTCTCTTTCTTCTCTCTTTCATCCTTCCCAATAGAAATTCTATTTCAACGAAAATTTTTGTTTTGAGTTTGTAGTTGCATATTTTTGGGTGAAGGTTTAAAAGACATCAAAAACTAATTTTGATTTTTTGTATGATGCCACGTGTCACAAATTTCAATTGATGATTATTAATCAGGTCACAATTTCATCTTAAGATATTTTCTTAGGAATAAAATAAGAAACTAGAAAGGAAAGAGGAAAACCCAAAATTAAAAGAATTGAAAGGCTAAAAAATTGTATTTTAGGAAAGTGAGTTGAATATTTTTTTAATCATTTAAGGAGAAGATAGATCTCTGCAATTCCTCTTTTTTAATTTCAATCATTAAGGTGAAGATTTTTTGGGAAAGAGGAAGAATTAAATAAAAAAGAAAGAAAAAAAGAAATAAAAGAAAGGAAAACAAGGTAAATGAAAAGTCAAAATAATGCAAGGGCAATTTTGCTCTAAAGGGGGTTGAGTGAGCAAAATTAAAGATTAGGGGATAAACTGAGAAATGGGGTATTCTTTAAAGGGATAAGATGTGATTAACCCTGAAATTAATCAATTAACCTCTCATCTAGGACCAATTGGGGATTTCAAAAACATTAAATCAGATTCCTTAAAAAAAAAACATTAAATCAGATAGGTACTTGGTAGAGGTTTTGATTCAATTATAGGATCCTAACTGTTCAACATTTAGGATAGAAAACAAGGAGATGACTCTGACAATTGAGGAGGTAGTCAATCTTCTTAATTTGTCAGTGGAGGGCACAACAGTGATATTTTTTGTTGCTTCTAGCAAAATCGAGTTGTATCATTTCACCAAATTAAAAGACTCTATAGTTCAAGGATCAGACCAGAACATAGGTGTAAATTTTCATTTTGAAAAGGTAGGAAAGGAAGTTAAAGTTTGTCATAAATTGATAATATTGAAAATTGAGCAAGTTAACAAACTACGAAAAAATAAAATGACAAGATAAAATCAACAAATAATAATAATAAATGAAACAAAAGTAGTTAACATTATGACAAAATGAAAAATCTAAAAAAAATTAAGTAGGATATCTATATGCATAATAAATGCATCAAATATTTGTGAAGGCTGAAAAATCAAACATTCCACTATATGCAAGGCTTCACCAATATTAATGCATGAAAGTCTCCACCAATGAGTTCAATAATCTTAGTATCCTTCTGGCAGATATAGCTTGAATGCATCAGGTTTGTATCATGAATTATAAGTGATGATGGAGATGTCTAAATGAGTTTCATTGAATTTGGTGGGTTATTCAATTATACCCATTTAGTAAATTGGTATAAATATCCCTTATGCATGTATATAAATTATATTAGTAAAAGAATGAAATTAATTAAAAATTAGAAACAATTAATACACATATTTCACTATTCAAATAGTTTACATTTAATAAATTAGACAACACAAATAAGTAACAAAACTGCACTAATGATAACAAGATTCAATAAAACAGACTAGTAATCTCTTTTGATATGATTATTGTGAACAAAAGTTTTTTTGAAATTTGCTTTTCTTTTCCCCTCATTTCTCTTTTACTAATATCTAACGATTAAGTAATTAGAGCACTAATTAACTAAAATAACTATTGAAAATTTCTTTAATGATGAACGATGACTTGTAATTACAATATAACATCAATTGATGTACCTAGTGATGTTATTTTGTGATTGATAGAATTTGATAATGATCAAAAATTAGTCGTACACAATGTGAGAAGAAAGACTTTGGTAGAAGAGAAAAATATAGGGCAAAAAAAAGTTGTTCATGCGGATATTTTTTTTAAAACTCTTAAAATTGTGGCAGTTGTAAGGTAATTTCATAAAAGTAAAGAAGAAAGGAAGAAAAATAAAGGCAAAATTCAAAAATAGTTGTTTAAAATCACAAGAATCACAACAAATATCATGTTAAAAGAGATGATTAGTCTGTTTTACTAAATCTTGTGATTATTAGTGCGGTTTTGTTACTTATTTGTATTATTTAATTTATTAAATGTGAACTTTTTGAGTGATGAAATATGCGTATTAATTGATTATATCTCTTAATTATTTTTATTCTTTTACCGATACAACTTTTATACATATATAAGGAGTATTTATGAAACAAAAGTTTCATTTCTCTTCTTAAAATCCTTTTTTAATATTATTTTTTAATTGAACTAATTTTATTATCAAAACCTTAATCACAACAGAGAAGGTTTGTGTAATTTTATGGAGGCTAGCGAAATTGTCATCCCTAAATTCATAAATCATAATGCCTGCCAAAAAGGCCATAAATTCTAATCGCAATATGACAAAAAGTCACCAACTCCACGCCAGCGTGCCGCGATATTTACTCATCATAATTAGCTGTCGTCTTGCCATTAATTCCTTCAAGGGCACAGTTGAAGTTTTCTTCAGTTTCAAGGGCACTCTTGTACCAAATCCCTCGACTAGATATAAACCATGTTCCACTCATTTCTCGGCACTCTCCACTGAATCAGTAGAATCCATTTCCCCGGACATATAAATATCTCCACAGTATCCTAGAGACAAAGGGGGAAGGAAAAAAAAAAGGGAAAATGTGCCCGACAAAGCAGAAGCAAAAGCACCACCATCATCACCACAGCCACCGGAGCTCCACCACCGTTGCCGCCGCGGAAGGCCAAGGCGCCGGAGTTGAAGACTGGAGACAAGAAGCCATCAACGGCGGATCCTTAAAGCACGTAGATCTCCACACTGGATCCAACGGCTGGGCTTCACCTCCAGGTGATGTATTCTCTCTCCGTGGACCCAACTACTTGACTAAAAAGACAAAAGTACCCTCCGGCCCCTGGCTTCTCCAACCTGCCGGCGTCGATTGGCTCCGATCCAATGCCAAGCTGGACCATGTCCTCGCCCGACCCGATAACCGAGTCATGAACTCACTCAAATCCTCCAATCTTCAAGGAAAGAGTCTGAAAACTTTCCTCGTAGCTGTCAATCTCCAAGTCCCCGGCCGGGACCACCACAGCGCAGTATTTTACTTCGCCACTAAGGAAGGCGAAGGCCTCCAACCGGGCTCTCTCCTCTACCGGTTCGTCCACGGCGACGATAATTTCCGGAACAGCAGGTTCAAGATCGTGAATCGGATAGTCAAGGGGCCGTGGATTGTGAAGGCCGCGGTCGGGAATTACGCCGCCTGTTTACTGGGAAAAGCGCTCAAGTGCAATTATTTTGTCGGCGATAATTACCTCGAAATCGACGTGGATATTGGGAGCTCGGCGATTGCCAGCGCGATTTTGCACTTGGCATTGGGGTACGTCACGGCAGTGACGATTGATATGGGGTTTTTGGTAGAGGCGCAGTCGGAGGATGAGTTGCCGGAGAAGCTGTTCGGGGCGGTGAGGATTTGTCAGATGGAGATGTCGTCGGCGACTTATGTGGAGAATAGTAGCAATGCGGTGTCGTTTAAGAGGGGGCTCCATAGTGGGCACCCGAATGGTAGTAATAGTAATAGTAGCTGCAGTAAAAGTAAAGTGCAGGCTGAAGAGGGCAGTAATAATGGAATGGAATAAGGGAAATTATTAGGTTCTGAGGTAAATTTTTCTTTGTTATTTAATTTTCCCCTGTAATTTCTGTTATGTGGAAAAAATCTGGGCTGCTAATTTATGAGAATTAAGCCCTTTCTAATGTGATTTTAGTGTAGATAATTAATGTGGGGCTTTTTTTTATTATTTTCCTTTTCTTAAAATAATTTATTTAGTTTCTCCGTGGAATTAACTTTTTTTTTTTACGTTATATGTGTTTTATTATGTTCATTATGTTAATTTGATATTTATCGAATCATCGGTGAAAGGTTCTGATTTTATCTCAGCAATACTATAGTAGGGAAAACAAATTAGATGGAGAACCAATTTTGATGAAAGCTGGAAATCAGGAATTTGTATTGGATCAAATTAAGGGAACTTTCTTGATGGTTATCATTGATAGTTACTGTATCAAATTAAGGGAACTTTCTTGATGGTTATCTTGTGTAGATTTGATGGCTATCAAATTTAGGGAAATTTGATTTCCTTTTATGGTTACCTTTGGGATTTTAAGCCTTACTCTGTTGATAGTTTTTTTGGGTAGGTACTCTACTGAGTCATTGACAGTTACTGAATGCTAAAGCAGATTTCTTGCCTTTGTATACTTCTCGAAAAAAGGTTTGTTTGCTATCTAAGCCTTATAAATAAACAAGAGAAAGGGGAGTTTTTGACAGATGGATTAGGAGTCTTCTAGTTGAGCGCAGGATTTTGTGAAGTTTGTTTAAGCAGTTATCTTAAGCAAACAATTAAACAATTATAGTGTTTTATAGTCAAATTCGAATATAGGTATTTATACATTCATGGGAATATTTCCAAGTTTGAGGAAACATTCATTGGTGTTCGGGTATTTGGGCCATTTTACTAAAAAGAAAATTATTGTCTTTTGCTTCAAAAATTTTAGTAAAAATGAAAGTAGGATAGGAAACCTTTTTTTTTTTTTCTTCTAAGGGAAATGCACGAACTTTTTTGGATTCGACAATGATTCCAACATCTTCTAGTAGCAGTTTTTATGATTCCAACAATCTTGTAATGTCTCGTTCGCCTTGTTCCATCCTAAGATTAAAAGCATTATTCTGAATCAACTCACCGTGAGCCAATGCATGAGCCACGCAGCAAGGTATCATCGCACAATTCCTGTCACAATGCCTAAGGAATCAAACTCTAGATTGCAGTGTTTCACGCGGCAATGACTTTTCATAATAATAACAATTTGTGTGTTTGGACAGCCAATTATTTGGCCAAATATATTTGCTGACATCACCATTACAATTTCCAATACACCTTTTTATCTTCCCAATTACCTTTTTATCTCACATACATCACATCACAAAAAGTGCTACAGTAAAAATATTTCAAATAACTTACAATCCAAACACACTCAATTTAAAAAAGGTTGGATCCATGGTAATGTCTGTTTTTATAATACGTTGCTTCGCTTCATGTCACTATATACAGAATCTACAATGTAATGTATTGTAGCAATTTGATACGCGTAAGGTAAAAAAATAATTAAAAAATATGTTTATAGAAAATTTAAAAGTTTTTTGATGAAAAATGCCTTTTCAAACAAGACATCACTAACCACAAGTGGTTATATCATATATATATATATATATATATATATATATGTATGTATGTATATACAGAGGAAACAGAGAGAACACAGAGAGGCAGAGCATACTTGTGCTTAGATCAACAGCAACCTTTTGGTGAAATGATGACTGCTCAAGCTTCTCAAGATCCAAATAGTTTATCCAATTTCTACAACCACCACTATCATGATCCCTAAGAGGGTTTTCAGAAAAATAACCATAACTTTTTAAAGCTTGAAATGCATCCTATCTAATCCCCCATTTATACATATCTGACAACATAGTAAAAGAAAGACTAACAAAAGGGTAGAAAAGAAAGGAGGACCTTGGATAAAAGGATAAACGGCAATGGAATTGGGACTGGAAGCCTTGAGACTCCTCCTGGAATATTTGGCTTTTTAGCCCGAAAACATTCATGGGAAAATTGGGACACGTGGTAGGAACTGTAATAAATCAAAATAAATACTGAACCCATTAATGTAATCTCAGAATCTCTGATCACATAATTACAGGCCATGGTACCACCATTTTACCTTAAAATTGTTGGAAATAGTTTGTAATACAACTCGGAATGAATAGAGCTAAAGTGTGCAATCGATGAAGATGTGAATTTGGATCCTTGTAAAGGTCATTTTCTGCAAATTCATTTGGCACCTTTTCATGTGAATTTTCTGAAATGTTGCGCTGTCAATTTATGCCTGTTAATATGAACGGTTTTCTGGGTGTTATAGCAAAATAAATAACTGTTTTAACACAAGAAAAAAAGCTAACTAATTTGAATTCATTTAGTGTTATCAAATTCCCCTCATTTTGTATCTCTGCTATTTTTCCTAGGACTTCATCATCAATTCTCTTGTTTTTGACTTACTTGTTGTCTTATTACAACCCCTTTGTTTTCCTACAAAAACAATGTCTGTGTTTGGCTTTGACTAGGGCTCAGAATCGTGGGTTAATGGGGAAACTAATGGTGGCATGCTAGTGGAGGCTGTTTCAATGGGGGTGTGTAGCAGTTGTGAAATTCTAAGAATGTGTAGATGATGAGAGAGCAAGTGTCGAAAATTCGTTCTATCAATTAGCCATATAAAATAATTAGATAACGATGAGAATATGACATTTATATATATATATATATATATATATATATATATATATATATATATATATATATATATATATATATATATATATATATATGAGATACTTTTTGAATTTGCAAAGTATTTAGTTTTATCGATTTGTTTCTTTAGATGTGTCATTGTTCATCGGGTAGCACATTCTTTAAGATACAAAATACAATTTTTCCATCTGGAGTTCAACAATTTAGCATTTGGTAGGAGGAGGAATGGATTGGGTGATTTGGAGGGAGGAAGTGCAAGTGAAAGGTTTTATGTTTGAGTCTTCCCACTTATAAAGAGAAAAAGTTTAGCATTTGGCATTTACGCTTTCTAATCTATTTGAACTTTTTAATCAGTAGATTATGAAAGAAAGTGTAATTGTTTATATATGTTAAAAATAAATAAAAAAATATAATTGAACTTTTTCAGTGAAAGGTCTGAGTTCGAACTCTCCACTTACATTAAAGCAAAAGAAATTTAGCATTTGGTATTTACGCTTTCTAATCTATTTGAACTTTTTAACCAGTGGATTATGAAAAAAAGTGTAATTGTTTATCTGTGTTAAAAATAAAAATGAAAAAACTATAATTTTTGGTATTTTTGTTATTGGCATTTTTATTAGCCTCTGTGTGAAAACTAGTATATGCATTCACTGTCTCATGGAGGTAAAATTAACATGGATTTTTGGATGCATGTTAATAAGCTCATTGTATTTGTCGTACTACATTTCCAATGATAAAAACGATGCCACAAACATATTGTAAATTGTACTAACATCATTTGTCTTAAAATCTTGAACCCTTTTTAATCACGACAAATCTAGGAATTGTTTAGAAGTCACGACTGAACCGTAAAGCATGAAGCTTTTTCTTTAGGATGATGGTTAAATTTCCAAGGCAAAATTTTCTCAAAAACGGTGTAATTTTTTGTTTAGACATTGTAGCATTTTTTGTGATGTAATATACGTAAGATAAAAAAAATAATTAAAATAATAATAAGGTGATTGAAAAATATATTTATGATATTACTGAAATAATTATTTTCAAATAATGGGAGAGAATGTAAGTAAGAGATTCAATTCAAATTCTTTCACTTATACTATAAACGAAAATAAAAAAAGGGTGCAAAATTTTCCAAATTTTTAAAAGGGACAAGGGCTAAAGTTTGAAAAATTATTAAATATATAAAAATGTAAATTTTTATTTATGTTAAACAAGCATTTTTACTTTCATTTTTGTTTTTCTTGAACAGTTATTTGAGCCTATTCAAGAAATTTAAAAAATTATGCCCTCCTTTTGGTTGGTTTTTTTTTTATCATAAAAAAATGGTGTATTATCTTTTTTATTATAATAATAATATTTGTATAATCTAATTTATTTTATTCTAAGAAGGAAGCTTATTCTGTAGGAGGAAGCTTAAAGAGGTGTATTGTTTTGTGTTTAAGGTACAACCACACAAGTTAATAAAAGCTGCAAGAACCTGATCAATATATAGAATGTAAAGACTGCCACACAACCTTTAAAGGAAATTGATTCTTCCTAACTTTTAAAGCTGGAAGGACTGATTGGTTGGTTGGCCTTTTTTTTTGGGGGTGGGGGGGGGGTGGGGGGAGGTAATAGGAAGGACTGATTGATGAATGCACCGATTCAGTTGGCTTCTCACTTTTTAAAAAGGTTGAAAAAGCAGTTGGAATTGGATTCTTCTTTGGGTTAATAAATGGTACTCCCTCCGTTCCACTTTGATAGTCCTGTATTCCTTTTTCGTCTGTCCCAAATTATAGTCCACTTTCCAATTGAAAAATATAGTTGTATTTTAATTTTTCTAAAATACCCTTATTCAATATAAGTAGTTGTTACTATAAACTTATCCCATTTAATGAGAGTTGATTCTTTTTTTACCATCAATTCAAGCTCCCATAAAGTTGTACCATATTTAATGTGAGGGTATTTTAGGAAAATAGCAATCTAAATTTACTTTTCCAACAAAATTAACTATTTTTTCTTAAACTGTGTGAAAAAAGAAACAGGACTATCAAAGTGAGATGGAGGGAGTATATCTTTTTCTCTGTCTCCTGACTCTTGGGGATTAAGGACTGGGACGGCGTCAACTTCGATTTGATTTGGTTTGGTCTGAGAATTGATTGATTGACATATTCTAGGTTTCGTGGGGACAAATTTCCTGTTAGGCTTTCGGCTTGGGTCTTGGGCTGTGCCTGTCGCCTGAGGTGCTCGATTAGATAGAGCATGATCTCTTTGAGTTGTCCTTCATTGTACTTGCAAATTCTTGAAATAGGCATTAATGAACGTGGATTTATTACACTCTTTTATCATACTCAAAGAAGAGAGTTAATCACAAAACACCCCTTAAGGTATAGTTATATTTGCAATTTATCCTTTAAAGTTTAGGTTTTTTTTTTTATCACTTAATCTCTTGATAG